TGAGTCTGGGAATCTCAATTCTGGCATAAGTATAGTAGAGATGATATTTGTAGCTCAATGTCCCTTTTCTTCTTGTTTTGTGTTTTGTTTTGAAGTCTTTTGTTGTATTGTTTACAGCTTCGTGCTATTTTTTAATAATACATTCCTTCCTTTGCAAAAAAAAAGGAAAATGACATGAATACCCTATGAACTTTCTAGGGTTTATCTTTCTATTCCCTAAACAATTTTTGTGGCCTTATGAGAGAAGCAAGTCGTTTTTTTCAGCTCGATTACATCCTTTTGGCCAAAGTGAAGTGGTCACCCGGTTACCTCTTTGACATCTGTTGACCAAATTTCTTATATTAACTTTGAATTTTCCCATACTCTTGGACCCATATATATATATATATATATATATATATATATATATATATATATATATATATATATATATATATATATATATATATATCTTCAAAGTTGCATAATTACTACTATTTGACTTCATCAACAGTCAAGTCATCATTTCCGTTGGAATGACTTGCAGACCCATTTGAATGATGGAAGGGAAAAAAACGAGTCTTATGGTGTCATAACATCGACTGAATGACATCGGCCGAGACATAAATATAATAAGGGTTGTGAAGAAGGCTTACGATGACAATAAGGGTGATGGTCGGTTGGAATTCGTAGAGGCAGCCGATAGTGGTTGCGAACGGTGGCTATGGCGGCGATCGTAGCTCAGGAGCTTTCATCGATTTCTATTGCTTTGTTTCCGTGATGTTTCTAACAAGTTCAACGAGAGGGAAGGGTAGGGACCTGATGTTGGTATCAACTTCCACAACACTTGCGGTGATGGGCGTTTGGTGGTGGTCGGTACGGTCGGAAGATGGTGTTCGGTGGTCACAACAACAACGACAGTGGTGGTGACTGATTATTGGAATGGAGGTGGGAAAGAAGGGGCTTTTGTTCGATTATGGTGCCCAATGGTGGTGATTCACGGTGGTCCAAGGCCACCGGTGGTGTGTTTATGGCAGGGGTGATGATGTAGTGGTGGTGTTAATGATGAGAATGCAAGTTTTATTTTATAACTAGTAACCTTACATCGGGGTGAAGGTGGTGAATGGGTTTAGGAAGAGTAAAACAAATTCTTTCACAAATTTCATATGTAAATGAGACTAAAAGGATAAGTTGGCTATAACTTGGTTTCCGTCATAAAACCACGAAAAAATTTAAGTGATTAAAATGGTTAACCCTAAAAAGTTCGTAGGCTATATGTGTCATTTTCCCGTAAAAATTTCTAGTGTCAAAATGTGAATCACACTAAAATACTTACACATAAGAATTAATAGAGTATAAGAATTATACGTGAAGCAAATGTATCCCAACATTTTATTTAACCTTCTACCAAACAATAGATTATAAATTGTAAAATAATAATAATAAAAATATCAAAAAGTTTTGATCAAATAAAAAAAAATTTGGCAAATGACCAAAATATAGGGTGAGTTTGAAGAAAATGACCACAAAAATGAACATTTTAGAAAATGACCACAGGTTCCGCAGAGAGAGTTATGCGGAACCATAAACACCTCTGCGGAATGTGAACACCTCTACGGATCTTGTTTTTTTCATTTTTTATTCATTTTTTATTGTTTTTTTTTACTTTTTTTGTTTTCGTTTATTAATATTTTTTTAATCGCATAAGGTATTATATGATTATTATGTAAAAAAATTGTTTTTGCTTTTTAGTTTTCTTATTTAATTACCCGTTTATAAAAATTATGTGTTTAATAAAAATTATAAAAATATACTATGTTTTTTATAAAATTGCACACACTGGTATTTTGAATAATAAATATACTTAACATACTTTAAAAAACATAAATATACAACTTTCATAATAAACATACTTTGAAATAAACTTCATTGAAGGCTTTGCGGATCCTCTACAGCTCTGCGGAATGTTTGTTTTTTGATTTTTAAACTTTTTTTTTTTCGTTTTTTTTTGCGTTCATTTTCGTTTATTAATATAATTTTTTTAAATACACTAATACCTTATGTGATTATTACGTAAAAAAATCTACAAAAAAAAATGTTAAAAATAATGAAATGTTTTATGTAATACGTTTGCCTCTGAGGAACCGAAACACCTCTACGGATCTTGAGTTTTTTAATTTTTTCGTTTTTTATATTTTTTTTGTTTTCGTTTATTAATATTAATTTTTTAAATACACTAATACCTTATGTTTTATGTAAAAAAATGACAAAAAGATCGAGGTTAAAAATAATGAATTTATGTTTAATATCAGTCCATAGAACTGTGTGGGAATCCACATAACTGTTATCAGCGGATTAGTCTACACCTCTACGGATCAGTGTACACATTTGCGGATCAGTGTACACCTCTGAGGATCAGTATACACCTTTACGGATCTGTGTACACCTCTGGGGATCTGTGTACACCTCTGCAGATCAGTATACACCTTTGTGGATCTGTGTACACCTCTGCGGATCAGTGTACAACTCTACGGATTAGTTATAAAAGTTATAGATATATTTTAATGGGTTTTTGTGAATTTGTGAGTTTCAATTACCAGTAGAAATTGTTTTTTCATTGTGTTTGTGGAGAGTGATTTGTAAATATAAAATAGTAAAAATACATGGAAAACATACATTAGTAGCAAACATAGTATATAAAACATTTCATTATTTTTAACTTTTTTTTGTCAATTTTTTTTACATAAAAATCACATAAAGTATTAGTGTATTTAAAAAAATTAATATTAATAAATGAAAATGAACACAAAAAAACGAAAAAACGAAAAAAATAAAAAAATATAATAAAAAGATTAAACTGCACAAATGGTCCCTGTGGTATGTCGAAAATTGCCACTCTGATCCAAAAAAGTTTGGACTTGCACCATAAGTCCAAAGTTTTCATTTTGTTGCTTGTTTGGTCCAACCTATTCTAATTTTTTTCAAAATGACATATTTACCCCTGTTAATTTGATTTCTCTTTTTTCTTATTTGTTTTTTTTTTGAATTTCAGATTTAAAAAAACAAGAAAATAAAAATAAATCTCTCTCTCTCTCTCTCTCTCTCTCTCTCTCTCCTCATTATTTCTCCTTCCCTCTTTGTTTGTTCTTCGTGGTCGTCAAGTACCCTTGATCGTCGACTCCACCACCGTCGTCGCCGTTAGCCACCGCTGCCTTCATCCCCTATCGTCTCCACCACCACCAACCTCCGATAGATCTGAAAGCCAACATTACCTACAAAAAACCATAACCGATTCCCACAACTGGAGACCATCTTCTCACTTTCATGGTTCGTCTTCTCCATTGAAAACCATCTCCTTACCCCCCATTTTCGACAAAAACCATCACCAACTTCCGAAACCCTAGCGCCGCCACCTTATCTCATATGGATTAGGGTTTTCGGCGAAGACGAACAACGGCGACAGAGGGTTTCTTCGAAGAAAAAGGATCTAAGATAGACAATACTCGCCGGAGAAGAAGACAGAAACGGAGGCGATGCTTGTGGCTCGAGTTTCTAGACAAAGCCTTCGTCGAGGTGTGAAGATGACGACATTTATCTAGGTTTTCAAATCGGGCCTACTGAAGGTTGAAGCCACCTTCGACGTTGATATAAGTTTTCACATCTTCTACGCCCTTCGTCTTCTTTAATACATCGCCTCCTCCTTCTGTATCTCCATTCTTTTTCCGGCCACGCCATATATTCTTTGGATTACTATCTTCATTAAGTTACGATTCTGCTGAGAGAGATAAAGAAATAGATAGGTGGTGTTGCTCCGACTGAAAATAAATTTGTAGTGGTCGGAACCTCGAATCGCTGAAAGTTGGTGATGGAGGCGGTGTTAGTTTCTTTTTGTGAAAGTTCAGAAAGGAGGGAGAGAGAGGTATGAGAAGGGGAAGTGCAGGTAGGGTTGATTTTCTTTTTTAGTTATTGTAATATTATAAATAGGAGAGAGAGAGAGAGAGAGAGAGAGAGAGAGAGAAGGGGAGAGAGAGAGATATATATATTTATTTTTAATTTTATTTTCTTGTTTTTTTAAACCTAAAATTCAGAAAAAACAAATAAGAAAAAAAAGAGAAATTATATCAACAGGGGTAAATATGTTATTTTGAAAAAAATCAGAATAGGTTGGACCAAACAAGCAACAAAATGAAAACTTTGGACTTCTGGTGCAAGTCCAAACTTTTTTGGACCAAAGTGGCAATTTTCGACATACCACAGGGACCATTTATGCAGTTTAGTCTAATAAAAAAAGAATTCCGCAGAGCTGTAGAGGATCCGCAGAGACTTTAATTAAATTTATTTCAAAGTATGTTTATTATGAAGGTTGTATGTTTACGTTTTCTAAAGTATCTTTTGTAACGTACTTAAAATATGTTTATTATTTAGAATACCAGTGTGTATAACTTTATAAAAAAAAACATATAATATTTTTATAACTTTTATTAAACACACAACTTTATAAACGGTAATTAAATAAGAAAAACGAAAAACGAAAAATAAAATATTTACATAATAATCACATAATACGTTATGCGATTAACAAAATATATTAATAAACAAAAAAAAATAAAAAATAAATAAAAAAAAAACTAAGATCCACAGAGGTGTTTATGGTTCCGTAGATACTCCTCTACAGAACCTGTGGTCGTTCTATAATTTTTATTTTTGTGGTTATTTTCTTCAACTAAGGCTACATTTTGATTATTTACTAAAAAAAAAAAAAAAAAGTCTATCAACCAAGTAAGAGAAGGAACTGCAAAATCTTTCCGTGCTAATACCAATCTCAGATCTTAACAAATAATCGAGAGTACATCAATCAATCTACAAGAAGTGAAAGAAGTGAAATTGGATTTTGCTGCTCACTAAAATAATGACCAAGGCAATAGCGTCATCTTTTTAAACTCCGTGGGAAGATATTGTACATATAAACAAACGAAATCGAACCATCGAAACACAACCACACAACTTCCAAGAACAAACACATGACAACATCAGAACTAGTTTTCATCCCATCTCCGGGCGCCGGCCACCTGCCACCGACGGTGGAGCTCGCCAAACTCCTCCTCGACCGTGATCAACGGCTTTCCATCACCATCATCATCATGAACCTCCCCCTCGAAGCAAAACCAGATACTGAAACTCCGACTTCCACTCCTCGTCTACGCTTGATCGACATCCCGAGTGACGACTCAACCAAAGACCTTATCTCTCCTAATACCTTCATCTCCAAGTTCCTCGAAAACCAGAAGCCTCGTGTCAGAGATATTGTCAGTGGCATCACTGAGTCTCACTCGGTTCGACTCGTTGGGTTCGTTGTCGACATGTTCTGTGTAGCCATGACCGACGTTGCCAACGAGTTTGGAGTTCCAACTTACCTTTACTTCACTTCAAGCGCCGCCGCACTCGGGCTGATGTTTGACTTACAAGCCAAGCATGACGACGAAGACTTTGATGTCACTGAGTTGAAAGACTCGGAATTGGAGGTGTCCATTCCGAGTTACGCCAACCCGATTCCGGCGAAGGTCTTACCTTCGGTGTTGTTCGATAAGGATGGTGGGTGTAACACGTTTATTGGTCTAGCAAGAAAGTATCGTGGGATGAAGGGCATACTAGTAAATACATTCGAAGAGCTCGAAAGGTATGCCATGGAGTCCTTTATAAGGAGCAACGCCAACATCCCACTGGTTTTTCCGGTGGGGCCGATACTGAACCTGAAAAACGCTACAAATGATGGTAAGGCCGACGGGATTATGACGTGGCTAGATGACCAGCCGGAGAGCTCGGTGGTGTTCCTCTGTTTCGGTAGCATGGGAAGCTTCAACGAGGAACAAGTGAAGGAGATAGCGGTTGCACTTGAAAAGAGTGGACAGAGATTCTTATGGTCGCTCCGCCGTCCGCCGTCGAAGGATAAGCTGATGGGTCTTCCCAAGGACTACGAAAACTACGAGGATGTTTTACCGGAGGGTTTCCTTGAACGGACATCAGGGGTGGGGAAGGTGATCGGATGGGCGCCGCAGACGGCGGTGCTTTCCCACCCTTCTGTCGGAGGATTCGTGTCACACTGTGGGTGGAACTCGACATTGGAGAGCATATGGTGTGGGGTACCGGTGGCAGCTTGGCCACTCTACGCCGAACAACAACTGAATGCTTTTAAATTGGTGGTGGAGCTAGGATTAGCGGCGGAGATTAAAATCGATTACCGTTCCAATATGAGACCAGGTAGCAATGAGAAGGAGGTTATTGTGTCGGCGGCGGAGATTGAGAGGGCGATAAGGATGTTGATAAGTGATGGTGAGATGAGGAAGAAGGTGAAAGGGATGAAGGAGAAGAGCAGGTTTGCAGTCTCCGAAGGTGGATCTTCTCACGTATCAATTGGTCGATTTATTGATTATGTTATCGTCAACGAATAAGTTAATTATCGCTATCTATATTTTTTGTGGTATTTGGACATTTTTATTTGTTTATTATTAAAAGATTGTGCATCAGCTTGGAAAATGGACAAACAGTTTTTTAAATCGTTACAAATGAAATTGATTTCTCAATGACAAATATCAACCAACCTCACGAACTACTAGTTTAGCTCCCCAACTTGCCACATCTATTCATCCCATCTTACCCCCTTCTTAAAAATCGATATTGTTCCTTAACTATTGTCTAAAAGCCCTTGATTTCATGCTCTTTAACGTCTCTGTACCACCACATAACCACATTGTTCTTTAACGTCATCCCTATATTACCCCAGTAAAAAGGACAACAAACAATTGACGAGAGATTTAGATGTAAGTAATATGTTGAAAATGATTAGGGGGTGTTTGGTTTGTCTTTTTGAAAGATAAAAGTTTTTTTTAGAAAACATAAAGGGCAAAAGATATTTGGTAAAAACATTTTAAAAATGATTTTTTGATTTTAGAAAGAAAGAAAAGTGATTTTTTTGAAAAAGTTAGGAAAACCTAATTTTTTGTAACTTTTCCAAAAAGAACTTTTGCTTCTAAAAAAGACAAGTCAAACACCCCCTAAATCTAAGTTGGATCACCAATTTGACTAAAGTCATAAGTAAACCTAATAATGACTCCCTTAATTATGACTTGTCCATACCCCTAGCATTCTCGAGCAACTGCCACTTGCAAAACCGGAAAATTAAACCACAATAAACCGCAGCCAGGTGCTGCCTTCTCTTCTTTGTTCATTCAAGTTACATTGCCACTGGATTCCTCACCAACATAGCCATCACCTCCGCTCGGCAACCTGCTTCACGAACCTACTGTACGAGCCAAACCTGGAAGAAAAAAAAAACACCCTCGACAACCTCCTCCATAGAGACTGAAAAACAAACATAAAATACCATGTGTTTCATATTGGCGATTTTCTCTGGTACAATACCAACCAACACATATCACACAGATCTGGGTTATTTCAAATCTGTGTTATTTCAAATATTCTTCCTCTCTTTAGTCCACCCATACAGTTGCTGATGCACAAAGTTTTTATTTTCTGATCACACAAATCTATTTTCCTTTTCACTTTGAGTAGTTTGACTACACATGTTAGCTTCACCACACACGTTACATGTCTTCTTGGTTCAGCTAAAACTTCGATCCAACACATAGCTGTTCCTTCACTCACACATATTGGTCTACAAAAACCCTATCACACATAAATGGATTTAATCCCACATATTTCTTGGTTTAAACTCGGCTTACAGAGCTTTGTTCGGCTCACACAGAGCTCTATGGTTCACATAGAACCTCTTATGATGATCCCACGAGCCTAGGGTTATGATACCAAATGTAGGAGATAAAGTTTCTTCCTTTGAATAAAAACAACTCTCCAAATCAGAAGTGGTGAAGTTATATAGCCTAATGAGAACCATAACGAAGCAAATATTGATGTAAAGATCACGAAGCCCTTCGTAACTAATATTGATCAAATACTTATAACTATTCTTCAATTTATTATCAATTTTGACCACCTTCAGTTTGTTGGTTCAAGAACCCTCTAAACAAAGGGATTTGACTTAAGAGCCCAATGAAGTTTTCAAACCGTTCAAAAAAACCCAACAAACTTAACATTTTGTCTAAAAAGCCCAACTAAGTTACACTTTCCTGAAAGTCAAATAAGAGAAACAGATGACGTGGCTTATTACCGTATCGGGAAAATGACTTGTTAGACCAACGAAGTTTCCAAAACGTTTAAAAAACTCCAATCATGCTTTGACTGAACAAAAAAAACCCCAACAAACTTAAACAAAACAAAACTGGGATTTTTTGAACGGTTTAGAACTTTGTTGGACTTTTTAGACAAAATGTTAAATTCGTTGGATTTTCTTGAACACACAAAACATGATTGGGGTTTTTTGAATGGTTTGAAAACTTTGTTGGGCTTTTAAATCATTTTCCCTGTAAACAAATAACAAAAGAAGTAAACTATGTTGTTGCATACGAGAAAGAGAAAAAGAAAAATAGATGGAATTTTTTTTTTCACTCAAAAGCTGGTGAAAAGGGCTATAAATAGCCTACAATGGACTCAACCTAAACAAACAATATAAACCTAAAACCTAGCTACTAATCCTAGAAAATAGGACACTACAATGACCACGTTTTCTCTGGTGTGAGCTTGGTCAAACAACATTTATTCAAACATTAAACTAAAACAAACCAATGACTAACCTTGTACCCATATCTATAACCCAAAGTGACCCACCCATGTCAAGATTACCCAACACTTAACCCTTAAAACTTGACATTAATCTGATTCCTTAAAGCATTGTTGCTTCATCATCATCTTGGTAGTTATCTTCTTCCCATTCTTTTTTTTCTTCAACCAAGTTTCACCCCCCACTGGATTCCTTGCCAACACAACCATCACCTCCGCTCGATTATGCACCAGCAGCCCAATAACCACCATGAAAGTTGAAACAACACATGTTTTGTATTAGCTAGATCACATATAGATCTAAGTTATTTTCTAATCTTCTTCTTTTCTTCAACCTACACACACTCACTTATAGCTGCATAGAAATCTTCTTTTTCTGATTTTCTTTCTCACTTTGAATAGCTTCTCTACATATGTTAGCTTCACAACATAGGTTCCTTGTCTTCTTGGTTCACCAAGAACTTCAAATCGATCCAACACACAACCTTTGCTTCAACTCACACAGATTAATCTTCAAAACTCTTTTCACATAGATTTCTGGTGTTAAACTCGTTCAACACACAACCCTTTCTTTCACACAAATTAATCTTAAAAGAACACAATCCCACATCATACAGATGTAGTTTTAATGACACATATTTTTGGTTTTGAACTCAGCTCACACGGAGTTTTGTGCGGCTTACATAGAGCTTCTACATTCTCTCAACTCTATGGTTCACATAGAACCCCTTCCATAGATCCTACAAGCCTAGGGATCTGATACCAAATGTTGGTTCAACCCTTTCTTAACACTGTTAACAAATAACAAAAGAAGCAAACTATGTTGTTGCAAACGAGAAAGAGAAAAAGAAAAACAGATGGAATCTTTGTTTTCACTCAAAAGCTACTATATAAATCTAAAAGAAAAAGGGATATAAATAGCCTACAATAGACTCAACCTAAAAAAGCAATATAAACCTAAAACCTAGCTACTACTCCTAGAAAATAGGACATTACAATGACCACGTTTTCTCTGGTGTGAGCTTCGTCAAACAACATTTATTGAAACATTAAACTAAAACAAACCAATGACTAACCTTTTACCCATATCCATAACCCAAAGTGACCCACCCATGTCAAGATTACCCAGCACATTTGACTTTGTATCAGGCCAGAAGTTCAAGTACGAAGCAATGGAATTTATGAACCATTAACCAATTTTCCAAGATAATTTCACTAAAACAACAAATTCATCAAATTCACGATCAATCATTTAATGCTTATACGCGATCGATATGAAGAAACAATGCTACATACAGAACAACAAAACTTGATCTTTTTTGTTTTGACCATTGAAACTCAAGCTAATTAGAAGTAATCCTTCAATTAGAATAATGGTTGATCATCTACCTTTGCTTCAACAACTTGTAACATCTGATCCAATATTTAATCTTGACTCTTGTATTCATATCAACAAATACAAATTGATTACAATGTTAATCTTGTTGGGTTATAGAGTATTCTTAAACACATGAATATAGCAATGAAGGACTTAAACGATTCATATGTGCTTATGAACCCAATAAAGATCTAAGTTTCAGTTTATTACTATAACTACTAGAACAAAAATAACATACCTCTTTAGAAATAAGAGATTTCCTTGCTTGGGATCTTGTCTTGCCACCTTGCTTGTATGAGAGGTTCTAAAGTAGAATCCCTCTAATGGTTCACACCCAAGAACACCAAAGAGAGAATCAAAAGAAAACTAGGAGTGAGGATAAATTCCTATTAACCCTAGAGATGGTTAAGAAATTTGTTCTTAAGAGACAAAGGAGGGAATGGACGAAAATTCTAAACCAATAAATAAATAAGCGGGTTTCATTACTAGCACCCTATTTATAGTGTAACACTTGAAACATATAAGTTAATTTTTAATTTTTAATTTCATTTTTGTGTGACCACGCCGTGGTGGAATATTCACCACGATGTGGCAATTCCTTTTTTATCACTGGGCTTTAATGACAGTTACAACGTGGCCATGTGTTGCCCCGGTGTGTAACAACCGATTATTTTTGGTCAACAAAAGTCAACGCAAGTCAATGAAAGTCAAACAGGTCAAATCAAAAGTCAATTATGTTAAATATAAGTCAAATAATTAATATAGCTTAAATTAAATAAGGAAAATTTATATTGCTTTTAAAGTATTCGGTTTTTAGAAATCAAAAACCTCCCACCGAGATCAAGTTTTGGACCGAAAACCCATGAAACTGAGAACCCTCTTAGACCGAGAGATATTCCATTGTGACCGAGATCTAATCCCACTGAGAACCAAATGGAACCGAGAACCTTATTGGATGAATACCTCCTAGAACGGGAACCCTTGGTTCTCGGTTAAAGCTAAGGACCAAAATCAAAGGAATTTGGTTTGGAGGATAAGTTGAGATCTCTAATTTTAGGTGGTGGCACACATTCCAAAGTGATATAATACACGTTCCAATGCACATGTCAAATCAATATTTCCACATATTTATTATATGTTGGCCGTAATCAACATTCATAATCCCATTTTCATTCAAAGTTTCACTACTTTTTCTCTCAAAACCTATATATATATATATATATATATATATATATATATATATATATATATATATATATATATATATATATATATATATATATATATATATATATCTTCAAATCTTTAACGTTTTGCCCAGAATATCTTCAAATCTTCAAGCATTCATCCAATTACCCAGGAAACTAAGTTCATTTCATG